AGCCGGCCCCACGGCGCCAGCTCTGAGGCCGGGGATCTTCGGACCCTGGGCCCGTGCAGACCCGGGTCAGTCAAGCCTCCCTTTCCTCCTCCTCCTCCTCCTCCTCCTCCTCCTCCTCCTCCTCCTCCTCCTCCTCCTCCTCCTCCTCCTTTAGCCGCCCTGGCACAGGTCCCTTCACACACCCTGCGCGGCCTCAGGGATGTGTGTCTTCTCCTACCCAGCGCCTACCCTCCCTTCCATCTAGGCACTCCCCGTCGCGGCGCGCTGCCCGCCGCCATGCATGCACCTCTCTTCTTCATTGTGTTCAACGTCACGTCCCTTATGCAGAGTGGTAGGGCAGAGGAAATCTATGAAGCATATCAGACTAAAGATTTTGTCCCTCCTTTGGGCATTTGGTTACGACAGCGTCACACGGATGGGGAGTGTGACATGTATGCGCACATTCTGAATTGGGAATATGGAAGGGGGTCTCGACTTCGACAATGGCTCTTTCGTCTATGCCATTTCGCACAGATTCAACCACCGCCCGCGAGCTTACAAAGACGAATAGGAGTGCTGGAAATACGATCAGGCCGCTTTGATTTGCTGCTGTTTTTTTTCACAGTTCGACCGAAGGTGGCAAAGGAAATGCTCACGTACAAGAGGATGGTGATGCAGCTTAATTGGTGTTCGATTGTCGGGGGAGGAGACATTTATGACTATGCGGAAGTACCTGCATCCAATGCTGTACAACAGGAGCAACATTGTATGACGCTGATGAGAGATATTATGGAGAAATACTACCTGTGTCGTGACCCGAGGGACTCCCTGAAGGGCCATCAGCACCAGGTTGAGTATATGAAGATGAGCCTCGTTGTGGATTTGAATTTCAGGATCGTATGGCGTGCTAACATCTACAGAGGCGGCCAGGACACCTTTCTTGGTCGAGCTTGGAGTTCCTGCATTGATTATCTTGGCGGTCCGCAGGCATGTTTGACAACTTTAATGGATTTGTGTATTTTGAACAAGCCAGGTCGACAACCCCAAGTGTGCGCCAGATATACTACTGTTTGTTTTGGGAGTGGACTTACGCCCCGTATTCAGTGGAACCATGATACCTTTGTTCGAAGGGTGGTTGATGGGCTTTGTTGGCTTGAACGATCTCTAAAAGGAGCGGAGGATTACTTCAGCCAGTCTTTCTTGCGATGGAAACAGTATGAAGTATTGGCTACACCTGATTTGAGCAATGTATTGACGGTTGCCAACCAACGCCCCTGGTGTATAAGTGTATTATGGGACAGACCCTTTGCTCGTCTTTTGCGTATTCAGTGTCGTCAAGCTGATAGAGGGCATTATAACTATGAAATCATTGAACCAGAGTATCTGCGCTACCCTGCTTGCGGTCAAGATCATCACAGCCTAGAGGCTCTGCAGGTTCACTTCAGATTGCACGTGCAAGTCGATCACTCTGCCCTCTTCACCTTCGAGGCTCCGAGCGATGTCGGCGTGGGTGGCGCACTTCTCTTCGTTATTGTGTACAATGGAAATCTCTACAGCAGTTCAGACTCAAGATTTTGTCCTTCTTACGAGTATTTGGCTACGACGGCGTCACAAAGAGGGGCAGTGTATGAGCATCTTCGACGCGCATGCGCACATCTTGGACTGGGGATATGGAAGGGGGGCTCGACTACGACGATGGCTCTTTCGTCTCTGCCATGATGCGCAGAGTCAAGTAACGCCCGCAGGCCTACAAGGACGATTCGGAGTGATGGAAGCAAGATCCGGCCGCATTCATCTGCTGTGGTTTGCTGCCTATCTCCCAGTTCGGCTGCAGGCGGCCAAGGAAATGCTCACGGATAAGAAGATGGGGATGCAGATGCTAGTATGGATGGAACAAGCTGGTAGGCTTCAACCCAATTGGTGTTCGACTGTCTGTGGTGGGGGTATTAATGGCTATGGGTTAGTACCTGCACCCGCGTTCAAGGATGAGGCTGATTGCGATCTTCGAGGTATTTGTGCAACGATAACAAGGCTTTCGTATCGGAAAAATGCTTCGCCATGGTTTCGGCCTGATGAAGGTTTCCGCAAGTTGCTAAATCCAACCACGAGGGACCTGAAGCACAAGGATCAGCAGGAGGAGTTTGAGGCGCCGAAGACGGGATTCAAAGCTGTTCGATTTATTCACCGAAGCTGTCCTTTTAGCGAGGCCATGATGCAGCACATCAGCCGACATGGAACTGCACCTTCTACGGAAAATAAGTTCATGGGCTGTATGCAGGGAGGCATTTCTCATAGGAGACGTGAGGCAGCCAGTCGAGTCCAAATTATCACAAGTTGGAGGTTGACGCAGTTGGGCGTATCGCATGTTCTGCAGCAGGAGCATCACTGTATGAAGCAGATCAGAGATTTTATGGAGAAACTCAACATGCATCGTGCTAACACCTTTATGGGCGGCCAAGACACCTTTCAAGGGCGAGCGCTGAGGTCTCGCATTAATTATCTTGGCAGTCAGCGAGCATGTATGACAATATCAATGGATTCATGCGTTTTGAACAAGCGAGGGCGACATCTTCAAGTGTGCACTAGATATATTCGTGATGGTTCTTGGGGAGGACGTGCGCCCCGTAGTCAGTGGAACCATGCTATCTTTGTTCGAGGTGTGGAAGATGGGCTCTGGTGGGAAAGGTTTCTTAAAGAAACTGAGGATTACTGCTCCCAGTATCTTTTGCGATGGAAACCGTATGAAGCATTGATTACACCCGACGAGAATTGGCAGCATTGGGTGCATGAAGTTCAACAGATGGCAAGTGGTTACTTCAAAAATATTCAGATGGGAACCAGAATTAACGACTGGATTGGTAACAACAATGGGACATGGTGAGGCAATGGGCTATTTTGCACAAAATTATGAGATCTTTTGGTGCTGAGATGCAGATGGTGGAGAGTACATGTTGGCAGCAGCAATGGAGGAGATTGACCAAGGACCTTTACAACGTTAAGGAGCAGTTTCAATATGCAAAGGTTGACAGCGTCCAAGTTCGTCATTCGTTCTATATTCATGCGGTTGTGCCCATCGGGGAGCTGCCCAACATGTTGATCACCAAGAGCCCCATGAAGATGGGGTCCGAGCAGAAGCTAGGCCCGCCGCCGCGAGAGGGTTTTGAGAGGAAGCTCCAGAATTACCTGATCTGACTGCTGAAAGGGGGCAAACATAAAAAGTGATAGGCGTGAGGCCCCGAGGTGTTCTGAGGCCCTCTGGTAGCAGTAGTAGCCACCCGCTAGGCACTATGAGTGTCTTAGTGAGTGGAGGATCTAGACAGTATACCTTTTAATGGGGTTGAGTTCAGTTTCAGGCGCCTGGGCCCCCCCTGCAATTCAGCCAAAACGTAGGCTCTGTAAGGGCAAAGAGAAAGGTCGCGGTAAAGGCCAGACCTATGAACTGGGGCCTATACCTGATCCTTGTGACGTTTCTCCGCCTGCATTTGCCTTCCTGTTCCTTGTTGTGTCTCCCTTGTCCCTCTCTCTCGCTCCGTGTGTGCTGTGTGTGTGCGTGTGTGTGCGAGCTGAGACGTTTTAACTTCTCACTCTCGGGATCCAGTGCCATGGTGCACTATCTGGGATGATTTCGTTAGGCTTCTCGACCCTGACGATTTTTAAGGTGTTCCCCGATTAGAAATCTAGTCGCGACAGGAGTGCCGACCTTCGAGTTTCGCGAGGGGATCTGCCCTCACTATGCGCACAGCGGTCACATGTAATGGGATAATCATTGCTGACTCGACCAGATGCTGAGTACCACCACCACCACCTCCTCCTTTCCTCCTCCTCCTCCTTTCCTCCTCCTTCTCCTCCTCCTCCTCCTCCTCCTCCTCCTCCTCCTCTTCCTCCTCCTGCTCCTCCTCGTCCTCTTCCGCCTCCTCCTCCTCCTCCTCCTCCTCCTCCCTCCTCCTCCTCTCCTCCTCCTCCTCCTCCTCCTCCTCCTCCTCCTCCTCCTCCTCCTCCTCTCCTCCTCCTCCTCTCCTCCTCCTCCTCCTCCTCCTCCCTCCTCCCTCCTCATCCTCCTTTCCCTCCGCCTCCACCTCACCTTGGTCCTCCTCCTCCTGCTCCTCCTCCGCCGCCTTCTGGCATCGAGCTGCTTGGGGCCGGGGAACCGGGAAAAAACACACATGAAGCCTGTACACCCCCCCCAACCAGAAATTCGGGTTTTCGGGTCGGGTTGGGGTGGTCGGGTGGGCACAGCCGAGCTGGTCGGGTCGGACAGCGGAGACGAAGATCTCCAGCAGGTGCACCCGTGGAGGGCAGGCAGTGCTTACGGAACGTCGCCTTCCAGCCCGAGGACTCACGGCCTGTGGTTCGAGAGATTCTTACACATTTTCGGGCGCCGCACTGATGCAGCATTGATTTCTGCGCGGCGCGTCTCTCGAGCGGCGACCGCGCCTGGCCTCGTCATGTCTCGCCAGCGCGCCTGTGGCGTGCACGGCGTGCTTGCTTCAGGCCTCGGACAAAATGAGCGAACACTCATGCCAGATTCATCTGTCAGTGCTTTCCCCCTCCCCCCAACGATCAAAGTTGCACTTCGACTGTAGTCTTTCCCGCGCGTGCCTCTACCGTTGCACTGATGAGGTACGGGACGTTCCCCAAATCGCTTTCTTCTTTCAGCACCGCAGACGCTCGGCCTGGTTGGTCACTCTGTGAGCATTGAATGCAGGCTGCAGGGCCAGAGGCAATGTGTTTGTCTCGGGCGCGTCGTGTCTTGGCGCACCGTACGGCAGCCGCTCGACGTGATCCTCGCCTCGCTCTGCGAGCAGCTAGTTCTCGCCCTTTGCCGCAGGCCGCCGCTCCATCCACCAGGCCAGCCTCTGGCCAGCCGCTGTCCCTCCCTGGCCTCGCGCGTGCACTTTTTCACCGTGCGAAGAGGGCGCCCAGCGGCCGAGGAGGAGGAGGAGGAGGAGGAGGAGGAGGAGGAGGAGGTGCACCTGGCCTCGCGCGCGCACGCCTTCGCCCCACGGCCCCCCCCCTCTCTCCAGGAGCGCGTCTACGACTCCTTCAACGCCAACGACGCGAGGGCCGGGAGCACGGTGGAGCTGATCGACGCGATTCTTCGGGGGGAGCGGGCGGTCACGGACCTGCCGCTCATCCGCGTGGCGAAGAAGCGGGGTCCGCCTCTCGGCCTCCCCGCGGCCGCCGGGCCGTGAGAGGCCGTCGGGACCACGCGCGCGGCCCGTGGGATCTCCGGCGATCGCAAGCATGGATCAGGGGCGACGACGACGGCGGCGAGGACGACGACGACGAAGACGACGACGACGACGACGACGACGACGACCATAGCAACGACGAGAATGACGACGATAAAGACGGCGAGAAAGACGACGGGCGGCGACGACCGCGGCGGTTCCGGGCGGCAGCAGCGCAGGCCCGGGGGCGCCGCCCTCAAGAGATCTTGATGCTCGCGGAGGAAGGTCGACCTTCCTCTTTGGTCAGGCGATCGCAAACATGGATCCAGGGGGCGTGGATTGGCGACGGGTCCCGCTTCCATGGGAAATCGCGGATTTTCGCCGCCAAAAAGGGCGGCACCGGCCGCATTTTGGGGATGGCATCTCCCCCGATCCATGGATTTGGCGACCGCGCGCCAAATCCATGAATCGCTAAACCATGTTTTGCGCGCCCTCGAGGATCGCGCCACACTTGCCGCCACGCGCGCCGCCTCTTCCGGGTCAACTTGACGCCACGCGCGCGCGGTGTTTTCAGAGTGGAGGCAGGTTCTGTGGCGGCACCAGCGGCGGCGTCGTGCGCGGTGGCCGCTGTACGACATGTGTTTTTGCCATGCCTGGCGTGGGCATTCGACAGAGATTGCGGTCAGGTTGGCTCTTTTTTTCGCAGCCAATGTTTGCGCCGTAGTGGCGATTGTAGTGGTGGTCTGTCACGGCGTCAGTTTTAGAAATCGAAGTGGCAGCGGTAGATTGGTAGGTAGTTCGATAGGTGTGGCCTTCTCTGACAGGGATGTATCGATATTGTGAGGTAGAGATGTTGGGATTTAGACAGGCAGGGGGTTCGAGAGGTAGGTACCCGCGGGGAGGAAAGAGGGGGCGTCAATAGAGTAGTATGAGAGGCACCACGGTCGTGTCGGAAGACGGGTAGTGCAAGTTGCAGGCAGGTGCGTGTGGAGAGGGTCAGTGATACAGTGGTGAGGGGAAGAGTTCTGGGATCCCTCGGGTCTCCCCTCCGCCTATACTTCCCGATCTGAGAAGTAGCCCCACCCCCGTCCAATCTTTTCCTACCCTCCCCTCCGCTCTGCCTCGACTCCACTCCACTCCTCTCCTCTCCCATCTGCTTCCCCCTCCTCCCCTCCCCCCTCTCCCCCGCTCTCCCTGCCATCCCCTCCCCCCTCTACAATTCTTGAGCAACTAAGCAACACGAATACTGCTCTCCCACTGGAGCCTTAGGCGGAGCTCCTTCTGCGGCCGCGGAGTGTGAGGGGTGCGCCGACATGGGAGGGGGGCCGCATGTGGACGCTCCCACTGGGGCCTTCGGCAGGGCTCCCCAGGGGGCCCCGAAACGGGTGAGCGGTGTGCCGAAGCGGGCGGGGGAGCAGCATGTGGACGCAGCCACTGGGGCCTCAGGTGGGGCTCCCCACAAAGCCGCGAAGCGCATGAGAAATGGGCACGCGGATGGCAGAGGCACGGAGGGGAGGAGGGAGGAGGGAGGGAGGGGACCCCGGGGGCATTGCTGACTTAGACCGAGGACCCAGCGCCACAGGATGGCCAGGGATGATTCACCCGAGGACCCAACACCACAGTGCGTTCTCAAAGTGGGGCGTTCGTCTTCGCGCCGCGCGCATGCGTCTTGAAAGTTTACACCAGCTACAAGGATGTAGGGCGCATCGTTTTCAAAACATGGCCCTTGCTTTTGCCTCTTCTGATGTAACGACTCGAAGCTTCAAGATATGTAATAGTTGCGCGGATAGACGGCGGTTCCCTTTCAACATGGGACTCTCGCTTGAGACTTCCGTCACATGTAATCACAGGATGTGCACACGTGCGCAACAGTTACAAGGATGGGAGCGGCTCTTTTTTTATGAACCCGGCGCGACCCAAAGATTGCATGGGCGCAGTGTTTGGCATTGGTTGACATTGCTTAGCATTGCTTGGCATTGCTTGGCATTGCTTGGCATTGCTTGGCATTGGAACCCGAGGAGCCCGAGGAACCTCCGAGCAACGAGGAACCCAAGGAACAGCATCCGAGCAACGGGCAAAGTAACACCCCCGAGGCACCGGGGGCGGGGAACCCGAGGAAGCTCCGAGCAACGTGCAAAGTAACCCTCCGAGGCACCAACCTTTTTTACCAAGTAAGAACCCTTCAGGGCCAGCCCAAGTGGGGGCAAAAGCTTGTTCGCGTTGGACACCTCCTTTCCGCGTTCCGTACTACCCATTCGGAGGAGGAGGAGGAGGAGGAGGAGGAGGAGGATACAAGGCAGCTTTTTTTTCGGAATAGGGCTCTCGCTTGAGCGGCAGGTCCACTGGGCGCTCATCTTTCAAGGGTCTTGTGGCCGCGGGACTTGGCACGGCAGGGTGAACTGCAGTATCCTGGACGCATCTTGTCTCTGGTCCTCCTCCTCCTCCTCCTTGCCCAACTTCTCCTTCGACGCCCAGGCCCGGCCGCGCTGCTTCGGAGTTGACCCACCATTGATTCGGCCGGATTCGTTCGATCTGCACCCGCACCCTGTTCGCAGTTCGCTCCAAATGTGTTCGCGATCGACTCGCAACTTGTTTGCGATTGGCTCGTAATTCGTCCTGGCTGGATCTGGCCTCATCGTTCAGTTAAACCGATTCGTTGTGCTCAATCGGCCAATGTTGCCCCCCTGGTATGATCGAGTTGCATTGCATGCCAGAGCAACCCTCCTTCATTCCGCGAGGTGTGTATTGGTGCGTGGACAACCGGCGCTGCTTCGTGTACAAGCACTGCCAATTGGGCAAGATTCCGATGCAGGTCTTCGACTGGAAGGACAGAGCGCAGCATGGCGTTGCACAGATCGAGGTCTGTGGGCGGAAGTCTGGAAGCGACTCCGCCTTCCTTTTCTCCCGCGGGGGATATCAGGTGGCCGCTTCGCCGATCACGGCCAGGTCTGTTCTGGGCCTGGGATCAGTGTGTACGCCCTCCTCGCTTGGCCAGGGAGGCGTTCTTACCCTCCCCCCCGGTCCTCCCCTCGTCGACCTCCCCCTCCCCCCTCGTTCCCCACACGGCGCTGCCGAAGAAGAAGAAGAAGCGAGGGGGGGGGGGGGGGGGCGCCGTCACCGGGGGAGCGGCGGCCGAAGCGGTGCGGTGACCTCTTCTTCCTCCTCCTTTTCCTCTTCCTCCTCCTCCCCCCCCCTCCTCTCTCCTCCTCCTCCTCCTCCTCCTCCTCCTCCTCCTCCTCCTCCTCCTCCTCCTCCTCCTCCTCCTCCTCCTCCTCCTCCTCCTCCTCCTCCTCCTCCTCCTCCTCCTCGTGTGGGCCACCGCGAAGTTTTGAAACCCTGGCCGTTCTCCGAGGACGTCTCTGGCGACCAGCTGTGCCGCACAGCTCTGGGACCCTCATCGCTGGGCCTGCGCCTAGGGCGGAGGGGGGCGTGGGGGAAGGGGGGAAGGGCGCAGAGAGGACCCAACGCGCCCGAGCACACCAATCCTCGATCCTCAATGACCTCCTCCCTACTCCTTCCTCCTCCCCTCGCCCTCTTCTTCCTCCTCCTCCTCCTCCTCTCCTCCTCCTCCTCCTCTCCTCCGCTTCCTCCTCCTCCTTCTCCTCCCTCTTCCTCTCCTCCTCCTCTCCTCCTCCTCCTCCTCCTCTCCTCCCTCCTCCTCCTCCTCCTCCTCCTGCTCCTCCTCCTCCTCCTCCTCTGGACGGGAGATTGGATGCGTGAGTGTGGGTACGAGCACGGGTGTGTGTGTGTGTGTGTGTGTCCGTTGTGTGGAGAACCGGACTCCTTGTTCCACAGGCAGTGGCTTTGCACGTGTGTCGCTGAGCAGCGCCTGGAACATGTAAGCCAAGAGCTGATTGATCAAGTGAAAGCCGCTTCTCCCCAGGAACGTTTGTTCTGGTCGAGGCTCATAGTGCCTCAGCCCGTGGTCCCTGGTCCGTCCTGGAACCTCAACCCGATGTTTCAGGACTCCGAGGGCCAGGACATCAGTTTCGAAGAGTTTCTTGAGCTGTCCCGCGGGTATGGGCCTGTGGTTGACGGATCGGCCACTCAGCAGGTGTTTAAGGAGCTCCAGCGCGCTGCGTTCGGGGCTGTTTTCTTGGCACCTGGTCCTGATTACAAGATCCAGGCTCGTATGATTGGCACAGTTTGGCCCACGCTTTGTCAGACTCCGCAGTCAGCGGAGCACCTCGGGATGGCCACGCTGTGCAGTGTTGCAGAAGATACTGTAACCTCCCCTCACAGTGACTGTGCTGGCGCCGTCAACTTACATAACGCCAGCCGGCGTGAGCAGTTGAGTCCCAAACAGATGTTCGCGGGCCTTCGGAGGCTTGCCCTCGAGAAGGACCCCGAGGGCCTTGTAGGACGTGCTGCCTACACCCCTGCCCACAGGTCCGAGGAGGTGATTTTGGCCCTGCCGATTTTGGAGCGTCGCATTGCACTGGGAAATGCTGATGCTGATAGGCTAGCCAAACATGCCATTACCCTCCACCCAGGGGCCCCGACCGAAGTCCTCGAGGCCCTGGATGTGTGTGTGTGTGTGAAGCGTGTAAAGGAATTAGTAAAAATGTTTGATGCCGTACTCTCCTGCTACCCCAAGATGGAGTTCCGTCGCGTGCCGAGAGGCGTTCGGACCGCCGCTTTCAGAGATCCGAGCTGGCACGACTGGCGCGAGATTGACCCTGGGGTGGCTTGGAGGTGCGCGCAGTGTTTTTCGATCTCTTTCGACCAGGAGAGATCGATGGTAGGATGCAAAAGGGGTCCCCACGGCGCTTTGTAATCTCAAGGATGCTGAGCTGCGGGGACACCTCCTCACTTGTGCCATGATTGACAACGAGGACCAAAAGCCCTTAGTGTTTCGCTATAGGTGTGGTGCCTATGCGTCGAAGAGGTGTGTTTTGCCGGCCGAGCGCTGTTGTGGGAAACGTGGTAAGAGCGGTGCTCAGACCCTGTTCCGTGTCAAGCAGGGGCTCCATCCGCACTATTACAATGGTAATCGTGTAACGGAACCCTGCCGCCGCTCGGCCGAGGTTATTCTTGAGGCAGCGACCGCACAGAGCGGTAAGCCGACTGCCTCCCGCTCGCGCCTCGTGCCGCCCCCTGGCATGGAGGCGCTGGCGGCCCGCGTACGAGCGCGGGAAGAAGCCGCAGCCGCCGCCCGTCGATCGGGTTAAGGCGGGCTTGCTCTGTTCTGCCTCGTAGGCCTCCGAGGAAAACCTCCTCCTGCTGCTCGGTCCGTTCGATTACTCGTGCCAGGTATTCGGAGGCCCCCATGGGTCTTCGGAGGCCGTGGGAGGCCTCCAGGCCCAGGGAATAAAAAACCTTCATGTTGGAGGTCGAAGTTCGAACGTACGGTCGAACCGAGGTAGGAGACCGAGGTTGGTTCGGGGAGGGTACCCTCATGCTCTTCCTGTCTGTTGGATGGCCGCCCTGGCCGCTCCGCAGTGGGCCCCGCCGCGTGAGTGCTCTCCCTCCTCCCCCTGCCCGCGGCCGCGTCACCCTCGTCTTTTCCCATCCTCGCTGCCAGACAATTCGCGATGCCGTCACCCGGCTTGCCAGAGTGCGCGCGCGGACGGCCTCTGCCGCGATGCGACGTAAAAGTTAGTTCGCTGGATGTTCTTGTGCGTCCTGGGGGAGGACACCCACGAATGTTTTTCAATCTGGGCCGGCGGAGCGTCTCATGTTCTTGAGGGGCGTTATTATGATTTCAAAGTATGCGAAAGTTCTTTGGTTGTTGGGGGGCAAAGATCCTTTCATTTCTAATTGTTCCATCCTGGGCCTCTTCCTGGCCATAATGAGGCCAGGAACAATTAGAAACGAGCACAACTAGAAATGAGCACGATTAGCCGTAGCCATTTTGGCTCAAGGCTATGAACCGCCCGACGACCGCGAGTCGGCCTCGGTCGGCGACTTCAGCGCGAGGGGGTTTGCGCTTTGAGGCAAAAGCAACTGACAATCAAGTTTCGTGCGCATGGGAGCCGAGGGGAACCATGGCGCGCTGTGGGCGTGTGCGTGCGGCACGGCCGACAACCACCCGTGGAGAGCCTGGTGCCGTGGCTGTGGCAAGGCTGCTCCCAGGACGTCGTCGGTGGTCACGCACCAGTGGCAGCAGAACAAGCGCAAGCGGACGCCGAAGCAGCAGGGCCAACGGCAGCAGCAACGGTGGACGCAGCCATGGGCCAAGGGCTGGTGGACGCAGCCTGCGGAGTGGCCAGCCCTGGCGACAGCCCCGAGGCCAAGGGCAGCTGCACAGGCGCCGGCAGCCAACCACGTCGAGGACCTTGCGCGGCTCTGCGAGAAGCTCCATAAGGAAGGCGTGGTGGACCAGGAGCTGCTGGCGGCCGTGCAGAGTGCCAAGGACAAGGCGGCCCAGGCAGCGGAGGCGGCCAAGCCAGACAAGGGCCTGGACGATCAGCTGCGGGTTGTGCAGAACAAGATCACGCACAAGGAGCGCACGGTGGCCAGGGCAGCTGAGTACGTGGAGGAGACGCGTAAGGTGTTGGCTGACGCACAGGCCAGCTTCAAGGCCGCGGAGCAGGCGGCACAGGAGCGGGCGGATGAGCTGCGTGCCCTCACCGAGAAGCGCGCGGTGCTGCTGCAGGAGATGGCGGCCAAGGCGTCGGAGATCACGGACAGGGCGAAGGAGGACTCAGAGTTCATGCAGGCGTACAATGAGCTCAAGGACGCCCAGAGGAAGGCCCACGAGAGTGAGAGGGCCCTGCGGGAGAAGTACAAAGACCACTTCGCCAGCATCCCAGCATCGGGGGGCCCACCTGCAGAGCCCGAGGCCACGGACCCGATGGACCTCGATGCAGCAGAGCAGGAGAAGCTCTTCGAGGACTTGTACAAGGGCATTGGCGTTCACAAGGATGTCATGGCGCAGAACATGGGTGACAACCTTTCTGTGGCTGATCGCGTGCGCAAGCTCTGTGAGTGCGCGCCCTTGGGGGCAGCAAAGCGTCCACGGCGGGGTTGACACTGTAGGCCAGCCGTGGGCCAACGAGGAGTGCGAGGGCCACGAGAACCTACGTGAGGCGCAACCTGAGGGTCAGCCTAGAACGCAAGACCCAGCCCCCAGGTGCACCCGCGGGGTAAACAGCGCGAGGGGCTGGGCACCGTCGCCAAGGTTTTTGCTGGAGCCTGCCCCCTGGTGCACCCACGGGGTAAACAGCGCGCGGGGCAGGCGCGCCTCGACGGGGGCGCCAGGAGATGGTGCGAGTGCAGCGCATGCAGAGCGAGGCAGGCGCAAACGAGGGCGAGGTAATCTCTCGAAGGGAATCGAGATCTACACCGCCAACTGCATCACGTGGGCCAAGGGAGTCGCCTTCGTATTCGAGTACATCACCAAGCCGAGCTGCATCCTGGGCCAGGAGCACAGGCTGAACGACAACTGGAAGGAGGAGGTGCAGGCAGCGACCTGCAAGAGAGCATGGGCGATAGCGATGACGCCCAGTGCGACGGGAGCTCGAGGAGGCCGCAGCGCGGGGACATACATCATGGTGCCCAAGTCCATCGGCCTCACCTACGCGTATGGCTGGCAGGAGTGGGACTGCTCACCCGCAGGCATGAGAGGGCGCATATGCGCGGCCCGCTGCCCGCTGTGGGGCACAGGAGGAGTGCTGCTGGTCTCGGCGTATATGTGGACAGGCGAAGGGCTGTCAGAACGCATCCTGCAGATACTGGACCGCATTGGTGAGCTCACAGAGATGCATGCCGTTCCTTGGATCCTCGGCATGGACGCGCAGCTGGAACCCCGCACCTTGCATGAGTCGGGATGGCTCCAAGACGTGGGAGGAGTGCTCCACTCCACAGGCAAGGTGACGTGCGACACCATCGGAGGAGGACGAGAGATCGACTATTTCGTGGTTGCCAAAGGCCTCAGCCCTGCCCCCAGCCAGGCAGAGAGGGGGGAGGACAGTGAGGTCTCCCCGCATTGGCCAGTGCGG